AAACAGCGAAGCGCAATTTTAAACGCCTCATTTCCCCCATTATTTGCCGGGAAATTGTACAAAACTGTGCGAAAAGAGGTGAAGTGATCTTCAACCGACGATCGTATGAATTATTAAAAATTTTAAAGTGTGACACAGACACATGCATACGTGAACTTCCTCCACTGCGGAATACCAATTGGGATTTTTAAGAGATTTAATAGATCAGAACCACATAGGGATAGTAGTAGGTAGTTCATATAGTTATTCATATCATATATTTAATAATTTTTTTCATGCACCTATAATTTATTTCTTTATATAAGCCTAGACTCTGGAATCTAAATGTTCTAGACCTAGTTACATCTAGGATGCAAAACCATGTTTAGTTAAAGTGAATAAAATATAAATTTTCTATCCATCTAAGTCCAGACCTGAGAGACATATTTTATAAATAAGAAATAAAGTTTCGTACCACCATGGAATGTAAGGAAACTTTTATTGCATTTTTCTCGACAACAGGAATCATCAATTTCTTGACTAGGATAAACAAAATCTTGCTTGCCAATTCCAAGTACGAAAAATAATCTCGAATAACGTAACATTCTTCACAATGAAGGATATAGGCCGTATAATGCGTATTTACTAAGATTGAAGCGTGTTAACCCACATTGTACAGGGCTATCAACCGTTCCTCTAATGCGTTCTCATTACATAGGCCAATGTACCGATAGTAAGAGACGCTTAATGTATTAGTTTATCGATTTATTTACACTGTAAGCGGGGAAACATGGTTTTTCCGAAAGCAGGGAGCTTCCCTCGCACTCGTGGAAAAAATGAAATACCTATATAGAAAATATATTTCAAAATCAATCATAAGGTCTTTGTGACACTACATATACGTTTTTTAAGCATAATCTAAATCAGCTTAAGGATACCTGCGTGGGAGTATCACACATCAATCATCCAACCTCACAAACTTTCGTATTCATAATAGTAAAATAATGTTTTGATAACAAAACATAATTTTAATAAGCTCTATTTTAATTATACTCGAACATAATATACACCGGAACCACACAATTGTGACTCTACTTTTATAACCCGCGTGGGAAGTGCCTTGATCAAATCTGTTTTTAGCCGAGTTGTTTTTAATTCAACATTTTGATCTAAAGATTATTTAACCCGCAACAAAAGTACAAAATGAAATTTTAAATGGTTAAATTGTGTATATTAAAAAATATTAATCACTAGCTTTGCCAGCTACTTCGTTCGCGTAGTTATTTTGGGCATCTAACTAAAAACATTCATACATATTTTTGCAAACCTCAATAATAGCTGTTACCTACACGAGGTCGGTCGCGTCCCGTTCTTGCAAAATAATCTGAAAAGGTAGACATACTGCCCCGGACATTTGATAATAGATAATTAAAGAGAAACTATTCATTTGTACATATTTTTTAAGTATGTTGAATCGTTTTCGCAGCGCAAGCAAGGAAACCCCACAAATAAGTTTTTCCCCGTCTTTTACACATAGAAAATAATTATTTTTGAAAGAAATTGTTGTGTCCATGTAATTGGTTATTACTTTTTATTTAATATTGAGGCTTTAAACAGTTTTGTCAAAAACATTCATATCCTCTTGCCTCATAGACAAAGATCCGCGTCCCTCTTTTATATATATATATATATATACACAGTATATTTACTTTCTTATAGAGTTATAGACGGCATTATATTACGCTGGATAACAACGTAAGTTCTACAACAGCAGACCAGTAATAGCATTAGCCGACAATAGCAACTCCAGCGTAGGCATAATGTAATTTAGCACGCCGAGTTAGTTACATCATAAACCATACAGCATTTGGCATATAAGCTGAGGCTAAGACCAAACCGAGTACGTCAAGAACTTCTTACGCCGTAACTCTTATCTAATTCAATATTACGTCGCTTTCCTTAATTTAAGAAAGTAAAGGAACATCAGGAAAGGGTTGATCATAATAATGTTCAAGTTATCTTGAACAATGATCACCACCATATTTTAGATGTTCTCAAACTGCGTATAGTCATCATAAGATAATTAGAACTACTATTCTAAGTAGTGAATACGTCTTTCTGACAGGACAAACACGTCAACATTTATCAGGCGCGACTGCGGCGCCAAAATAACCCTATTGTGATCTTTGACGCAGAGTACTCATTAACTTATGTGTGGCAATTTCCTATAACTTAGTGCACACACACAGTCGTGTTTTTGAATATATAACCTTTTAAAGCAAAACTGTTATTTTGGGGCATTTACTATTAAAAAATATTTTAGCAGGGTTTAATAATGCATTGACATTTAACTATCTACAAAGCATTTGATACAATACAATTTAAGGAATAGGCTCGTTTTAAACATTTTCGGTGTTAAAAGCTGGAATGGTAAATATAATTTTTTCGTTAAATATTTTAATAGCAGCAATATGTAAAGGAAAAAATAAGTTTCTTATGAAAATCTCTACAGTCTACACCTCAAATTTTACAATATGATGTTAGCAAAAAGAAATATTTAACTTTTTAATTGACAGTACACAACTTGACCACACATTCTTCTCTTGATATATCTAATTAAGCTGGTGCCGATGAATCATTAAACAAATATTCGCTATATAAGACTGTCCTAGAGTCATAGAAACAATTTCAATATTTATTTGGCTTGAAAAACTGTTTCTGCTGTGTACAACATCTGTTATTTTAGGCCTCTTTATAAAGTTAACTGGCTAGCTATTTGCACTAGTTAAAAATAAGTACTGTTGATAGGAAATTATTGCAAACCATATCTACACTTTAGCACAGGTAGATAAATATTCAAATTAAATATTAAGCATCATAATCTGATAAGCTTTTCATTACTGGACAAGTGTGATAACAATGCTATCTAACATTGCTACATGTAATTGATATAAAAACATTGAAAGGATACTTTTACTGAAACATAATATTATAAGCAACACATAGAGATGTATTTTCATTTTAAATTATTTAACAGTATATCAGGAACTACATTTTATAAATACCAATGTTCTAATATAGCCTTGATATGTGCGAATATTGGTGTACTGAAGGTCAAGTCTGCATTCTTAATATCAATTATTTAGATTGCTTGATTCAGATATACGTGGCTCACTGAGTTACAAACTCATACTGTTAAACTACATTCAGTTAACTAATAATATATGTACTTTAAATAAAACATTTTAACAGTGAAATTAAGTAGATAAACTTGAAAATTATTTTCACCAATTTATTTCGTGTTTTAAACCATTTCAATGTGTACTACTCATATAAGCCACAGAGAGTATTTGTTACACCTAATGTCTGGTATACATCAGTTGAGGAAAACATGATAAATATATCAATTGTGGTCAAACCTGTCTACGACTTTATTTATAGAGAGAAATAAACTAATTAAGAATAACATTAATGTGTTGATACCTATGGTATTTTGAATCTAAACTGTGTTAATGTGTTAAGGGCAAAAACAATATTTTAATATGCAATTGTACTCAAACTAAAAATAAATAAATATTATGGTAATTATAGTTACTAAAACATTATCATGGACTAATAGCGTACTGCATACTTTTACTTTCCCTTTTCCAATCACTTATTACATTTAAGTATTGTAATAAAGTAAAGATAATACTTGAGGAAGTAGTTGAGTTGAGTAATTATCTAAAAGCCTGACTTGGGCCAGTAAAATATGAACTGGCATTAGTCAGTTTGGATAAGTCGAGTTACTTATCACTTATATACCTCCTACAACATAAAATATAGGTATAATATTGCATTTTCATAAATCATCATAAGATTACTATAAGTAACAAGTACTAATAAATAAAGCATATACTTGATATATAAAAACATTGAGATAGATAGATATAAAAACACAAAATATGATAATGTCAATATCCTATCCGCATAGATAAGGGGCGTAATATACTAATGTTAAATCTGTAAACAGTACAAACTATGTTGATATTTACTAGATTGCAATAAGAGCTATTTTATCATGGTATGTCAAATATGACTCACCTAAAGTCCAAACTAAGGTTCCTTTGATGCGTCGGGGGCTTGCTGCTAGCATCAATACGGCTACCGTGAATGGGGACATCTTCCAACATGCTCACGCACTTATGTTTTCACAACACAAAAACCCATAACAAAATCAGCGTAAAATCAAAGAGTAAATAACAACATGGCGTCGACACTGTTCTAATCAAATCAACGTTACAAATATTTCAGGTTTGAAATAAAATGCAACAACTTCGGATTTCAACTAAGTTAAAAGTGTTACTGCTGTGTTTAAATTAAACTCAATAGCAATAACGCGGGAGATCTAATGTAATTTACAGATCGGTTGGTGTCTATAACTTGAATTTCATTGAAAAGTAGCAATAGGAATGCTAAACACGGATTCTAAAGTAAATAAGTATAAGAACCACACAACACTTGTATAAAATGATGGCTAAAAAATTATAAACGAAACCAAAAGAAGCAAATTCAAATAATTAGAAATCGATGAGTCTCCCAACGAGACGACATCACTTTATTTTCTAATTTTTTGACTTTTTCTTTTGAGTCTTGACTTTTTGTTTTTGACGCAGTCAATTGTCAAAGTGTTAGTGTTGTATTTAAAAGGCAATATCTTTCAAAGAAATATAAAAAAATATATATTTCTATGAAAACAAGTACATTAAACGGCGTCTAAAGTTTTTAAATATAATAAAAACATTTTAATAGCTTAAAATTGTGATGAATTTATAAATTTCGCTTGTCTTCTTTCAGACTGACATTGTCAACATTATACACACTGTACTGACACTGACAATGACAAAAGAAGCATGTTGTTAACTTGTTACCATAACCTCAATATTAAAGACCGATCATCGCCATACTTATAAGTGATTATTATTTTGTGTTGACTAAACTATTAAAAATATATCATTCACTGTAAAATTATCTACTAGAAAATGGAAGAAAGCGTCGCGTTAGACACCAGTAAACAAAAGGACTTTGTAAAGTCTGTTAAAGGAATAAAGAAAGTATTGAACGTATGTTCAACTTTTGATTACTAGTGTTTAATTTTATTCATGGAGATAACTATTTAAATAGTGTTGTTATTTGTTTTTAGAAGAAAAAAAAGCAACATGAAGAAGCAACTAAAAATATAGAGAAAGGTGTGCAAGATGGAAAAATCAAGAAACGTAGACCAAGAGGGCTGGTCTATTTATCACACATTCCACATGGTTTTTATGAGGTTAGACAATTTAAAGAAACTTTATATAGCCCTTTACTTAATAAGTATTTCTTCAATTAAAAATCTTTGAGAAGATGCACAAGTATAATTATTTAAATTTTTCCTTTCAGCATCAAATGCAACAATATTTTTCACAGTTTGGCTTAGTTACAAATGTTAGAGTAATCAGATCTAAGAGGACTGGCAACTCGAAAGGCTATGCATTTGTTGAATTCAGAGACACCACTGTCGCTCAAGTTGTTGCAGAGACTATGAACAATTATCTCATGGGAAAGAGATTAATCAAAGGTAAACTTATTGTTTATTCAGAAGCTATGATACTAAGCTGTATGTGTTGCTTTGTATTTAATAAACCATTACAAACTTAGATTAAGCCTAGAAATCTTTTTATATGTTTTTTCTATATATTCTTTATTCTTATATATGTTGTATGAATGTATGGCCAATTCACACTTTAATTTACATGTAATGTATACACAACATACATATTAAATTATGAAGTGTAATATATGTATATATTTTTTTAAATAGCTCAGTACATACCTCCTAAAAAACAAAGAAGAAATGCAAAGAGACATACTTGGACCCCTGAAAACAATCCAACAGCAAATAGAAGGAGGGAAGAAAAGAAGGTATTTAATAATCCTATATGTATTTGTAAAAGCCAAATGATTTATCTTTATTAATATTGTAAGGTTAGTTTAGTTAAAGCTGTCAAAATATATGTATTTTAATAATAAGGACTATCAGTGAACAAAAATATATTGTTAAATAAAATTAATTAATTAATTTAAGTATGTATATTTACAGAAAATTAATAAAACAAAATCTGACGTAGAGAATCTTCAAGCTGCCAAGAATTTGTTGAAAACGTAAGTAGCTAACTAAGATGAATAATCAACTTATGAAATGCCAAAACAATCATCAAATGTACTTAAATATCTTTTCATTGTTATACTTATTGTTGAAAAACGAAATAGACAAAATACTGAAAGGAATAATGTATAAATTCAATGGCTTTCATGTTTACTTTCTATTTCAGGCTTAACAAAACAAAAAGTAAACTTAAGGCAATGGGTATAGACTATGATTTTTTCAAGCCAGTGGATATACCAGCAGGTTTACAACTTAATCAAGAAATTCCTGAAGTGAAGGAAGAAAAAAAACCTGATATCAAAAAAGAAGAAAGCAAAGATGATAAAAAGCAAATTAAACAAGTGGATGTTGATAGTAATACTTCGTCTAAGAAAAAGAGAAAGTCCAGTGCTAAAGACGGCAAGGACATTAATAAGATTGTTGAAGAGGTAGTCATTAAAAAGTCTAAAGTTAAAAAAGATGCAACAGTAGAGGAAATTGCTAAGCCTATTTTAAAAAAAGCCAAGAAAAACAAATCAGAGAAATTACTAAAACAAAAAAGTCATGTTGAAATGCAGAAAAAAAGTAAACAAAAATCAGAGGATATCAGTGTTCAAACATTAGAAGACTTTATCCGATTAGAACATCAGTCTGATGATGATAGTGATGATGATTTTAACTCTGATGAGTTTGAAAAGGCTGTGGGTGAGGACTCCTTAGATTCTGGAGGTGATAAGTCCGATGGTGACACATCAGAAGTTGAATCTCCCAAAATGTTGAAGGCAAAGTAAGTTGCAAATTATAATTCTACTGTTAAAATTAGTAAAACAAATAACTTGATAGTTCATCTTATTCATTAACAGTTGGATGAAATGCTAGTCAGTGCTATGTAAAAAAAGTTCAGATTTTTCTCAGTAATCGTTGTCTGTAATATAAGTTATTTTAAAAATAACGTCATTTACTTACAGGAAACAAAAACGTGTGAAAAGAGTTGTGCAACAGGCACCTCCAGTCGAGACATTGAATGAAAAGAAAAAAAAACAAACCAAGCCACCACAAACACCCACAGTGTCTGATCCTATACAGATAGCAGAAAAGAGTAAGTTTTACTTTACTTGAATTTTAAGTTGGATAAATTGCGAACATTGTCTATATTAAACATTTAAATAAAACACTTTAACGGTTTAAAACGCGATATATTAGTTAAAAATGATTTTCAAATAAGTTTAACTAATATATCCCGTTTTAAACCATTAAAGTGTTTTATTTAAATAAATGTGTACTACTCGCGTAAACTATAGACAGTATTTATATTAAACATGTTAACCGGCTGAGAAAGTATATATTATAATCATTAATCAGGCTATGGTAATTCCTTAAAATTTTTGGTTTCATATATGTTTATTTTAGGGCTTACTAAGTCTTTCTTTGTTACAGAACCTATACCATCCAAGAAAGCAAAGTTTGAGAAGCAGAAAAATAAGAAAACTCTTAACAAAGTGATTAAGAAGAAAAAGTAAGACATCTATTTTAAAATGTATATTTTTAAGTTTAATCTTTAAGCGTGTTATTGATTAAATAAATGACGTGGATACTATTAACGGACTTTTTTATGATATTACCATGATAGTGGTGAAGGATATAGGAACACAACTACAAAAAATATGAAAAAGTCGTTTTCGTCTAACATAAGACTTCCAAAAACGTTTTAGTAATCGTTATCTATACTAATATTTAAAGCCGAAGAGTTTGTTTGAACCCGCTTATCTCAGAAACTACTGGTCCGAATTGAATTCTTTTTGTTTTGTTTTTTGTTGGTTAGAGCAATTATCGAGGAAGGCTATAGGCTATAAAACATTGCGCTGTGACTAATAGGAGCGAAGAAACAGCGGATAGTGCAGTAAAAACGGGGAAAATTAATCGTCCTTGTAGTTCACCTGCGAAACGTTCAACATACAAAAAAAATATGTATGAGAGAATTACTCTCCTTATCTTCATATTAAATTATCAACAAAAATGTCCGCGCCAGTATATGTCTATTTCTTATGATGATCTCCCAAGAATGATGCGAACCGAACGATGGGTCGCGAGATGACGTAGGTTTGCAAAAACTATTTTGGATGCCCAAAATAACTATTCTACGCGAAGTCGCTGACTTAGCTAGTCCAATATAATATACTCCTTACTTATAAGCTAAACGCGAAACGTTGAGAACTGAGCCTAATCTGTATGATATAAGGCTTAGTTCAGCATAAAGCTGTTCAATAGCACTTAGGTGACGTCACAATGCGGAAAATGCAGCATGTTTTCAATATTTTCTATAAGGACTCGTTAGCTCAGTAGGTTAGAGCGCCAACACGGCTTGGACCATTACATTGGAGGACGGAGGTTCAAATCCTTCACGAGTCATTTCTTTTTCTTCATTTAGATAATTTTATGTACACGAGAACTATTTACAACACAAGATTATACCAGGAATGTGAGATTTAAGACTAGTAAAATTTCTAGTCTTAAATATATTTTTATGATGTATTGATTAAATGCTTGATATTTAATTGTTTTATTTATTATCCAAGTAAACAAGACATAATTAGTGCAAGAACATTTTATTACAAGGGAATCATCTAAAAAAACAATCCCTAAGGCTAACACATAGAACCTTAAATTCTATTAAAGAAATTGTAAACAAATAGAGGACTCTCTATAAAAATATATTAAAGATATACATACACTAGATTTATTAAAGCCTGCCTGCCTTTCGGTAAAGGCAGTTTGGCGGATTAACATTGTATCATATCTTTTTTGGATCCTTTGTACTTAATTAATTGTATTTTTATTAAACAAGATAAACTGTCAATAGTTATTTTGACATGTAATACAATTTTTTATGCAAAATAATGCAATAGTTTTTTTTGTAACCCTAATATTCATAGTTCTTACACTAAAAATATAAAATGTACACAGTACACAATCTACTTAATTTACGAATAGGGATGGACACATTCGTAAAATAATATAAATTTTGCTCTGCAAAGTCATTATTGCTTTATACAGTCTAATAAAGGCAAAAATACCTTTTGCATAAAAAGAACTTCCCACCAATCTGTTTGTCTTATTTAAAAAATTGAGGTAAAGAGATGAACTATAGCAAATGTTGCCTTGGTCAAGATTTACATAATGTGTTAAGGACAACATTTAATTTTAAATTCGCGTGTAAAGCAGGAGACACGTGTAACAACATCAATACTGGGAGATGATTATAGTGGGTTGTTACAATTGCACAAAATTTATTGAACCTGTTGTTGTGAAATATGAGTATCAAAGTGAACCCTCAACAGTCACCCGGTCCATCTATTCTGACTATCACCGGTCTCTCATCTTCTTCATCACTATCCAAACCTGTGAAATCCCACTGTAATTTCTCTGTTAAATTGTCCTTAAAGCGCTCAATTACAGTTAGGAGACGACTATCAACCTTACTTACATACGCAGTCTTAAAGAACTCTCTTAACTTCTTGTACACTAAATTCTTGTTCATGACTATGTCTGCTAGGAAGTCTTCTGGCATTTCATCAATTTGTATCTCGATTGTGCGAATGAAATGGAAAAACACGGTGTGGTATTTGTGTATGGCGTCGTCGCAAGAACACAAAAGGATGACTAGATTCTTCCAATGCTCAAATGCTTCGAGGGAGTGGCCAATGAGGAAGCATAGGTACGCGAACTGTAGTTCACCTATTATGTGCAGCGGTCTGTAAATTGTGATAAGACAGTAAGAAATTTTTACTACTACCTCAATTTGTCTCTAAGAAAATATACTATAATAGATCCATATAGAAGGTTTTAATTCTGAAAATGGGACATACATATATCAAGACATATTTGAGTGTTTGTTTAATTATTTCTTATAATCAGCAAGGATCTTGGATTTACCGCATTCAAAATTAACACATTTCTCATAATCAAGATAATACTTAGATAAAGTAGTCATTAAACTTTCCTAAATACTTACTCATCTTGTTGAGCTATCATCAACTCTAAAGTATAAGACTGGTCTAAGTAATGCTTTGTTATCACTTCAGGTGTTGACCCTGGTGGATATTTATCATGAGGTATCTCAGTAAATCTCATTGAAGCACCTGCAAAAGTGTAAGATTAAATTAGACTACAGTCAAAATGTGATTATAAATGTTTCATCTAAATAATTTTGGGAAATTCAGTCAAAAAGAGATTACTGTTGAAACAAACAAAATTGCAAAGCTTTATTGCAATGGCAAATACTTGTGAATGGTAAAATGTATTGGTACTAAACAAAAATTTTGTGTCCTTTAATAAAATTGTAGATATGTAAGAGATGGTATATTTAAGATAATAACCTGGAACAGGCTTTAGACTGGGTAACATAGCATCTTCTCTCTCAGCAGCAGTTATCCGTTTAAATCTTTTGGCAACAGACTGCCCAGATGTCGAAGATTCTTCTGAGTTATTTTCCGACCCACTCACATTGCTGTCAATTGATGCAGATTTAACTCCTCTTGGCCTATCTTCATCTGTTGTTGAGAGCAATTCCACAGATGCTCTAATCATTCCACTTTCAGGTGATAGTTTTTTTGCAAGGTCATCTGAAAAATATTTGTGAAAACTGTCAGAGTTTTTATTTCAGAGGAAATTCAAATTTAAAGTTCTTTATTCATGATGCAAACAGGCAACCCTGTGTCGTGGTTTTGTCCAAGTTTTTGACAGTTAATTAGATCTTATGATATTATTTTATAATTTTCTATCAAATTAGCTCAGGTAATTTAATAAGTAAATTAAAAAAATTAATACCTGTTATCTGCGATGACAAAAGCTTCCATTTCTGCCATATTTCATATGGGTATGGTGCCAAATGCCTATCAAGGTTCATTAAGTTGTCTTTCAATCTCTGTATACTCTCATCTGTAACTTCATCTTTACTCATATCCTCCAAATCTTTATTCCATAGCTTCACGAGAAATTCTTTTTTATGAAAATAATGCATAAATCCAGATCTGGAATAAAATAGCATCTATAGGATGACATCTGCATTAATACCTACTGGCAGCATCATTGTATGATTTATGCTATGTTAAATTATAATAGGTATTCTTTAAAATAATGCTCCAACTCAGTTTTCATTGTTTATAAGTTATGAACTAGAGATGTTAATAAAATACTGTATATTTTCTGAACATTAATTAATTTAGTAGTGTATATTGTTTTCTTTCAGTTCTGCATCTCAATTCTAACTAAACAATGCTTAAAGGTCAAAGTAGCAATAACCTATGGTATTTGAAATTAAATCAATATTGGTTGATGAACTTAATGGACTTGGTAAGACAGACAAACTTTATATATTTAATATAACCTATGTTTTACCTCGGTGATACATCCCCTGTACCTTTGCTAACACCGGCGTAGTGAATATAATGCAAACCGGGTGGAATCATTTTTATCCCGCGAAAATCGTCGTCAGTATTCCAACACTGCATATCGATACCAAATTGTGTTTCTTGAGGCACACCGAGAAAAACAAACGTGCCGCCATCGATTAGTAATTTTTTAGCTGTATCTTGATCCATATTACACTGTTCGGCCCAACGCGAACTTTTATGTGTGACAAAAATAAATAGATCGATATGTTTACATACGGCTTGTTAATTCGCAAAGCCACAGCGCGAATTCTATAAAAATGTCACAATGACAGTATACTAAGGTAACTATGTAGTAAAGCGCACAGACAAAATTCAGGCCTAGTAGGTGCGAAAAGTTTAAAAATATTATTTCAATTATAAAAGTCCTATTATTAAGGATGCAATTTTTAACCTTAATTGGTTGTATATAAATCTAAAAATCGTAAAAAATAGTTTTTTTTAGAAAAGTTTTATATAATAAAAAAAATATTCGAATTTATGTTTTTCTTTAAGTCCGGCATTAAATCAATGAATTTCAAATTAGAAAAAACTTATATCGGCACCTAATACTAAGTACTAATTTAACTTAGACCAAAGTTATTGCATACGATCCATAATACTTGTTGAAAAAGGTTTTGTGTAGCTCGAGTTTGCTATAACAGAACAGTAAAAAACTCTTTGAAGCCGTTTTTACCAAATAATTAATAGCAACTACTCAATCCATTATCTACGATCGAGGCATGCCCTCAAATCAAGTCAAGATCATGTTAGCGAACTTCAAACATTTTCGGTCTCCAAATACACGATGTCTGCTGTAAATCCATTGAATTTTCGTATATTCGCGTTAAAGTGAAGTGCATAACAGCAGGCTCAACGACTATGTTAACGGCACCTGATTTTTTGTTTTCGGTACTGATTTTTTTGCCTAATTATTTTTCAACAGGTGACGAATTCCTGTCTCGAGCACCACTACGTTGACGTGGCGAGACGGTAGTTATGTTGCGGTAATCATGAATGATGAAATGCGCTTTAGTTTTGCTGTCGTATGCAATTAGTGCATCTACTGAGTGCATGTCGTGAATGGGGATTGTCAAATGTGGAATACAGAGCAAATTAAAAAAATTCAGCACAAATACTTAGCTTACTTACATTATTGTCTAGTTGTTTAAAAAACCCAACCTTTCAAACACCAACCCATTTGCTCAACAATCAATTCATAAAATTGTATCTCAACTATACTTCTACTATGTGTTTGTTATGAAAAATATCTCAAAAATATTTTTAGGTGATTATATGTATATCAAAATTCACAAGAAGTAAAAGACACAGCTAGACAACAGTCACCGAAAATGTGTCTGCTTTTATAGTGAACCGTTAAAATGAACTCCCAAAAAACATACGTCACGCGCAATAAATGAAATAGTAAATACTGTCTATAGTTTACGCGAGTAGTACACATTTAAATAAAACACTTTAAGGGTTTAAAACGTAATATATTAGTCTCCCCGTGACCACGGCTGCTGCAAAGCATCCGAAACGTCGGGCCGCAGTTAAAAATCATTTTCAAATAAGTTTAACTAATATATCGCGTTTTAAACCGTTAAAGTGTTTTATTTAAATGAAATAGTAAATAATAACAGTAGAACCACGAAGTAAACGCCAAACAATGTACTCAATTAAACATTTATGTTCGAAAAATATTGAATTAAGGTAAGTGGCTGAAAAGGTATGAAATTTTTGGAAAATGGTATATTATTCCACTCATTTACTATTCTGCTTTTCGAGTGTATATTTCAATGCAGCTAAAATGTTAAACAAGCGAAATATGAATGAGCAAAATATTAAAATACTAGGTATTTGTTGGGAGCAATTCATATCCGCAAAGTACACTTTGAATAAAATTAAATACACAAATGCAAGCTGCTGTGTTTGTATTGGCGCCGAGTGCGGCAGTCAAATTGTTTTATTCACACCACAAAAGACTTAATTTTCAACAAAGATTTTCAAATTGCATCTATAGCTTATGTGAGTAAATAAATTTAATAGAAGACGCTTAAGAACTAGTAGAAAAGTGGTTAATACTTAAGATAATGAATTATTTCATTAAGGTCTAATACAAATCAAGTTTCACCTCGTTTAACGTGGTTTTATTTAAAAATATTACTTTTTTCTAGCTTTCAACAGATTATAGTTTGGGTTTTATTATATGTGTTTACTTGTTTTAAAATTTCGAAACGAACTAGACTTCCACGAAACAAGTTCACATTGATTCTTATTGAATACGTCTCGATATTTCCGATTTGTTTTCAGCGACGATTGACGAAGTGAGCCACACTACAGAAGACGCTGGGGAAATTAGGATGTAAATTTCCATATCCCTCTCACGAACCTATTCAGAGATTCTTTGTTTTCGTCAGAAATTTGAGGATATGCGATCTCGTGGGATGCTGTAGGATTTGCAATCGAAAATATTCTATGGAAATCGTTCAGTCACGCTGTTAATATTGATACAGTCGAGATTTTTTATTGAGGATTACAGAAAAAATCATTACATATGACGATGTTTCAAGAGAATTAAAAAATGTTGCTACTGTTACAAAACCTTGTAACCAATACTTCTAGAAGTGTTTTTACAACTTCATGGATTCGATCATCTTTGAAAATGAGATGATTTACCTCGTTTAGTTATAAAATTGAATTAATTACACTGGTTTCAATTTATAAGCTAAAGTCACTTGTACCTTTCAAACTACGAAAGTACAGGAAAGCTTTGTTAAGTAACGTAATACGATTTTAAATTGTCTTAAAACTATGAATGGTCTCTATCTATCTTCGAGATAAAGCGATAGAAAAACTCTTTTAACTCTTCCATCTATAAGAACAAATAACACACGAGGAATGCGTTCCAGTTAAGGTTTGCTCCTCTAAGAGTAAACGATTTATTTCAAAAGCAAGTCTTTATAGAACGAACACAAACTCAAAGTTGAGTAGTTGGTCTTGAGTTGGTAAACTTTTAATAGTGTTCTTGTCTCCGGAGAGTTTTGCAACGGGGCACGTGTATTCGAAGAAGTTAAAGCTATTATTTTATAGACTAATGCCTAAACTTTATTCGTCTTATGTTATTATGTTTGAGAGACAAACAATATTAGATACAAAACTTTAACGGTTTAAAATGCTAAAAATATTTACTTATTTCCCCGCTTCTTTTACTCCAACTGGTGAAAGGTAAGGAATCTATACGTCGGGTCGTAGGTGAACTTAGCCTTTTTTTCTAACTATTTAAACCGTGTATCTACCACCCTTCAATCTCAGCCTAATAGAATTTGATTTGTCAAAATAGACAATAAACCAGTTTTAACTAGTAACTACCGTAGTGCGCGTTGCACTTTGCAATTGGGTGATTATTTTCAAATACTTATTTTATAGCAAAAAACTTCGTAGAGAAACTTTGAAGAGGGCTGCGTACCAGGTATCCAAGTACCAGGGCCAAAGAAACCGCGTGGACATAGTAAAAATTAAATTCATTTAAAGCTTGCACTCTGCATTTTTTTAATAGCCCTCGTCGCGGCTGTCTCAGCGGCGTCAAAAAAACCTAATCCTTTTTGAAGAGTGCTCAGACACGGCTCAAGGCTCAAAATGCCGCGACACGAAGACAAGTAAAGGGTTGTCTTCTAAGGGTTTTCTTCATGCATGACTTATGCCACTGAATATTCTTTGTTGTGCTTAAGGCTAAGTGTACAATTTCATCGTTTAAATTAAATATACTCCTGTGGCGCGGCACGGTCTGTTCGGTTCCTAAATATCTTTGGTTTTAGTGTTTTATCTTCTTAACATACTATGTTCTTAACTATTAGTTAATTGCGTTTTAAGAAAGTATTTATTATAGCTTTCTTATTTAAAATACACACCACAGAACAGACACATTAATCTTACGGAAAATCTTATGTACTAACTTAAAAATAAAAAGCGGCCTTATCGCTACGTAGCAATCTCTTCCAGGCAACCTGAACAGGAGAAAAGAAATAGAAATTAAATAAAGTACTTAGTAGTAAGTTTTCTTTTTTCGGATAAGTAATATCGTTATAAGGTTTTTTAATCAAGAGGGATTGTATTTTTTGCATGTAGTCATTGTATTGTACAGATTGATTTATCTCGACTTAAAAGTTTCGTTACAAGCGGGTGTATCAAAAATCCAATCTCCAAAACTTCGCTTACCGAAGCTACAGCCAAACCCAATTAAGAAATTCGCGTCTTCAACTTCAATTAGTAAGATATAAACTCAACACTTTGATACGAAACAATCGTGCTCAATTTGTTCCTTACTTGGAATGTTTAGTGAAATCCGTGATTCCTTCACGTTATTGTTTTTGTTATTGGCGAGAAGAAAATTGGATTTGTCCACAATCCACAGGATTTCAATGCAGCGTGTATCTGGATCAAACAAACATTCAATTTTCCAATCTAGTTTTAGATTTTCTGCTGCGAGCGCTGCAACAAAGTAAGAGGTCGGCCTGATTGACTATTTTATCAATGTTGCTACAATAAAAGGTTTAACACAATTCTTGTAACTCGGTCAGACGTAATGTGATAAATACTTGAGTTTATTATTTACCTCGCATAGTAGGTATAACATATAGAGGTTTGCGCATCGAAAATAGTCTTACTGTTTCTAATTTATCACTCACATTCTCATCTAAGTTGTAGTTGTAACCTTTACAAGTTGTACATACAGTTAAACCTGTAAACTAATAGATAAATAAATAATCCTTAGCAATAATATATTATAATGTAAGCGTTAGGTGCACACAAACCTGCACTCAACTCAATGAGAAAACAGTGAATTATTCTCCGTAATTAATGCTCATAAAAAGAGTAAAACGCCATTGTTATTCCGTTCTTGTTTAATTGAGCCACTATACATTTTTCTAAATGTTTTAGCGAGAGAAAAATTTACATTTAAAACGAATGGACGTAAAACTAACACCTAATGCTAAATTCTTTTCAGCGGAACGTGGTCGGAATGCAAAAAGGTCTCGAAATAAAACACGATCAAGTTAATTAGGGGCAACGGTCCTGGAGCACTAATTGTGCCTTTTTGTCCGAGATCTTTATTAGGTAGAAGTCAAAGAGGTCTTTTTGCGAGACTTGAGGTTCCAATTTTTATTATT